CTGCCCAGGCTTAGTGTCTCTGGGCACCAGTCGCCGCCGCCAAACTCCCGATGGGCAGCCCCAGCGCAGCGCCGGCCCCGAGGTGAGCGGCCTTGGGGGGGTCGATGGAGTGTGCGCCCGCCCCGAATGCTGGTGTCCTCGTCTCTTACCTGGAAGCAAGAACAATCCGCAAAAAGTTGCCGTGATGCCGAGGACCCACATCCTCCCGGAGCCGCGGGGACCGGAACAGGCAAGCGCATCAGAAGCGGCGACCGCAGCGGAGGCTGCCCGGGCCGCAGCGGCTGTGGCTGCCGAGGCTGCTGGGGCCCGCGCTGCTGCCGCCGAGGCGACGGCCGCCGCCGAGAGGAGCCGCAGGTGCCGCTCGCGGCGCCCGCATCGCCCGCGCCCGGGCTACCGGCCACGGGTCGCCTCTCTTTTCGCTCGCGCTCCCGGACCAGGCGCGGCGTCTCCGGAGTTGGCGGCTGAGACCGAAGGAACTACTGGCGAGTCGGAACACCCAAAAAAGTCTCGCCTCTTCTCCCCACCTCCCACTCCAGGAACCACGTGACGGCTGCGAGTTGGGGTGGGGGTGGCAGGCGGGGAAGGCTGGGACAGTCTCTAGACGTCGCCACCCTCTTCCTGCCGCCCTGCTCTCCCGCCTCCTCATGTTCCCGGGAAAGGGGTGCGGGGGGAGAGGGTGGAGGATGGAGGCTGTAGGTTGGGGGAGTGGTCAGGAGACAGCAGCAGGTGCCCTGGGGAAAAGCTGGGTGAGGACTGGGGGCCCAGGTAGTGGGGTATGAAGAGGACGTGCCGGGTTGGCCCTTCGCTCACAGGGGCGTCCTTCCCACTCCACGTCCTTTGCGTCCCCCAGGGTTGGTAGACGGGGTGCGGCCCATCTAGCCAGGGACGTCCCGCTGCGGGCCTCTGGAGCCGGGCACCCCGGGAATCTGATAGGACTGGGGAGCGTTCCGAAGCATCTGGCAAAGTTGCGCACCCTAGGCTCCCTAGGGTGTCCAGTGCAGTTGTGCCTTTTCCTCCGAGAAACCTCTCGGTCAATAACCCGACTGGGCTTTGGCGGGGTGGGTGAGGGTGTGGAAGGGACCCTGCCCTGCCCTGACTTGTCCGCTGCCTGGGCTGTCCTTCCTTCGCCAGCCTGCGCGCACCGCAGGAGGGTGTGGTGACACAGCCCTGGTCGCCTGGGAGAAGGCCGACCTGGGGACAACCGCTGTGAGCTCAGAGCAGAAAGCAAATGCTGTTCCCAAAGCCACAGGTTATCAGTATATACTCCAGCGTCCTCTCCTAGAAGATGCCGTCTCACCCCCGGACTCGGCTACTGGCTGCTCCCTCATCCCTCAAATCCTCCTTTTTCGAAAAGCCCAATTGACCCACCTTTCGTACTCCCAGGGACTCCCCGGTGCTTTCTTCGCCTTACTCGCCGAGTCTTGCAGCAGGTGGTGCCGGAGCCCGCGTGCCCGCTAGAGCGCAGTGGTGCCCCCGCCCCCAGCCACACTTACCCTCCCCTCTTCCCAAATCCCTGGAATTCTAAATTCAACGGAAATAGCCTCCTAAGCTTTGCCCCTCTTTACTATTTTCTCTTCCCGCCACGCCTTGGGGTAAGCTCTCAGGCCAGGCAGCGGATCATTTATTTCCCCGTGCTGCCAGCAGAAGCAGGCCTGGAATGGGGCTCTAAATGACTTTCTTTGTAATTCCTCTGCAGAGATCATTCCCTATATGCCTCAGGCCCCCTCTCCATTTGCCCCCCTCTTCCTTTCATTTCTAGCTGGTTAACCCCCTCAGGGAGACTGAAATACTTGCTCCTCTTCAGACTCTGCTCTTAAAATTGGCTAAATTACTATCTCTGGAGCAAAAGGGTCAGTTTATTCCTTTGGGGAACCCATTGTTGGAACACGTGAGTCACATTCGAGTAACTGACTGGGCCTAAAGGTTCTTAAACAAGTTCTTTGGGTGTAATTGTGAGAAAACTTTTATTCAGAAATAAAACAAAAGGATTTTTTAAAGTCTGAAAGACAAGGACATTTTACATGATTTTCATTTAAGATAAAATTCAAATATAACAAATTGCACAAATTAACCCAGTAACACTGATCATACAATACTCTTTAAAGAAACAAGTAGGTGCTGACATAACCATATAGATCCTAAAAATATTTCTATTATGCCAGTTTACAAGCTCCTGTACAAAAAGCAATTATAAATAGTTCACATCTAGAAAAAATACACATAACCTTTAAAATAGAATTTATCCTTACATATGAACAGTCTTTGTAGAAAAAAAGAATATTAGAAAAGAATTTTTTGTAGCACCAACCATTCATTTTATTTTTTAAAAAAGTGGACACTGCAAGCAGAAACTTGCTTTCATTTTTGGAGTACCCAGATTTAATAAAAAGAGCAGGAAGATAAAAATCAAATAATATTCAGAATCCTAGAGGTGCACTAAAGAGGAGACATCAAGAAATGTCTGGAGGGAGAAGCCGCTGTTGGAAACAGAATTGGGTCATTTCTGATACAGTGTCACACTCTCAATCAGTGTCCACTGTTCAGGACCCTTTCCATTTTTCAATAGAAGCAGAATTACACATTACTAAAACCTGAATCTTTCCGGCCACAATTCTGAAATTGCACTAAAATTAACATTTCTATCAAATTGAGATTGTGAGATGGAGATGACCATGAACCTTCTGGTTTTTTGGCAGGCCCTGCTTTAGGCTTACAGATTGTACCCACAAACAATTTGAGGACTAGGACAATGAATTTAAGAAAAACTTTAGTTGGGATGAAAAAATACATATTATCGTTACGTTAACCTCTAAGACTTAGTACATCATTTCAAGAGCATGGTGCTGATTCAATTTATTGCTGTCTTCTTTTTCTTCTGCTACAAATATAATTTCTCTTCCAAAAAATTTACAACTTCTGTACAAGAATTCAAAAAAAGTGCAAAATTAAGAATTCTGTATGGTAGGTGTGTTTACTTTTAATCCTTTTCAAAAAAACAACAAATGGAGTCTGTCTTTATTGCCCTGTCAGAGAAGTAAGCTCTGGTGGGTTGCCTGCTGTGAATCTGACAGTGTAGGCTCTGGTGTTACAACAGTTTATTATTGTCATCTCTCCCCCAGCCTTCCCTCCCACCACCCCCCACTCCCACCCTGGTTCTGAAGTGCTCCGTTCCCAGTTCACTAAGGAAAGAAAAGTCCTTTATACATCATTGGAACCTTGACTGGCACAGGAAGAGAAACTATCATATAAAGAATCACTCAGAGATTCCATCTTGTCTACCCCTGGCCTATCGGAGCTACTCAAAGATGCCTCTTGGTTTTTTTCCTTTTCTTCCTTTTCTCCTTCACCCTTGTTCAGAGAGTTCTTCTCTTTTTCTAATAAAATCACAGTGTTGCTGTTAAATTTATTGAGTGACTCCAGGGAAATTTTAGATAATCTATTCTCAGGATCTTCTTTTGTTTCTTCAAGTTGTTTCAATTTCTGCAATAAAGAGAGGAAAAATATTAGAAACATATTTCTTTGGAAAATCAATTTATCCATCCAATATTCAATTATTGTCTGTATAAAGTACAGTTTAAAGGAATACAGAAAACCTACAAGTCCTTAACAATCTTCTAGCATAATTAAATGTAATAATAAAGCCAATTTTAGGGATAAATCAAGACCTTAATCATTTTACTGTGATAAATAGGTCCCAATTTGCAAACCAGTTAAGTGCTACTTAATTTCATTTTAAATGGATCCGTTTGAAATTTGTTCAGGTTAAAGTGCCTTATTTTTCTTAATAAAAGTTTCAAACTCCTCTCTCTACTTGCTAAGTATTACTTGTACTTTTTTGAAGTACAGATAGGGATTGAATTTTGGCCAGAAGTTACAGTAATCTGTAAAGAAGACATAAAAATCCTTTAAATTGCCATAAAAACTTAAGTACATGTTAAACTTGATAGCTGCATTGTCATTTTTGTATTTTGTTCCTTTATGGGACTTAAGATATTTTAAAGATATCTTTAGATGTTTGGTGTAGATCCCAGAAGACCTAAGGGCTTAAAAATCCCACGGGCAGGGCTGCAGCTGAGTAACCTCTGTTCCAGGAGGTTCTATTAATATCAATTCATACAGAGATATTTACAAGATGTTATTAGTACCCTCTAAGATTTTAAAAAACAGTGTAGTTGTATTCAGTAATTATCATAGGAAAACTCTGTAAACATGAATATATTCAGTTGCCCGAGTGCCTCCTGAGGTCTGGGGTGAGGACAGAGGATGAGGCATAGATGTCATAAGCAGTGAAACTGGAGGTGGTAAAGCCTTGAAGACAGGTCTCATCTTCTCCTCTTTCTGCTAAAAATTCTATTCAAACACAAGAGAGAGGTAGGCCCTGGGGGCTTAGCGATGAAAAAAAGAGCTAACATTTATTAAGCATCCAATAGGTAAAAGGCACTTCACAGATTTCTGCTACTCGCCCCTTTGAAAGCCTGCATGTTAAACATCCCCATTTTAAAGATGAGGGAAACAAGGCTTAGAGTGACAGCGATACTTGCTCAATGTCGCCCCGCAAGTTGCAGAGAACAGGATTTGAATTTCTGTCTGGCTGCTTTCCATGTTCTTGCTTTTTCCACTAAACCATGCTTTTTTATGTAACAAAGGACAAAATGCCCTATTTTTTATTTTGTTACCCAAATGTTTCACTTAAATATAATAACTTGGCAAAACATCTCTTAAGATATGCAATTCTATTGCCCACCCTGTCCCCTAATTCCTGTATCATTATATTGAACTTAAAAGGTGCAACAAGGAAATTTGTGTTTGGAGCAGGGAGAAACAGATATAACCAAAGCCTATGAATCTCACACACTAAATATTTAACAGAAAGAGAAAAGAGAGATGGGAGTGGATGGCTTCAGTGTCCCAAGAGCAGGCCTGGGCAGAGTTTCTCTGCTATGGGAAAGAGTGTAATTCTACCAGAATATTTGAAAATCTTCCTCAGACTAGTGCTTATTTCATTATATTATTAACTAGCAGGACCATTACTCACAGAGCTAATTTTTCAATCTCAAATGGCTACCTGAAACCAGAGGTGGGCCCAAGAACAGACTCTAAGCTGATTACAGAAAAGTGGCTCTACAATTAGGAATAACTCCACACAAGAGCCCCTTTTATGCTGTGTTAATTTTTAAGCATTTTTCAAAGAATTATATTGCACACTGTTAAAAATACATAGAGAGACATAAGAGAGGAATAAATGCCTGCCTACGCTTACCAAATGCAGGTAAGCAAGGGGTAGTCACTGCCATTTTCTCCTTACCTGAATGTCTTTTCCTTTTTTTCATTTAAGAACCACAAGTATTTTTCTTGCCTGTTTCTGGTCTATGTGGATTCACTCACCACTCACTAGAGCAGCTCTCATATGATGAGGCAGATGGGAGGTTCTGGTGCTGAGGATACACAGCTG